CTGACCAGTCCGTGGAGCTGAGGGCCAGGCCTCTGCAAGGGAGGCCGAGGGTCCTGGAGTGGCCGGGGCACACAGGAAGTCTGGGTGCTGGCAGCCAGCCATGAGGCCACCCAGGAGTTAGAGGTCAGAGCTGGCAGCCGGGACTCCAGGTCAGGGCGTGAGACAAACAGGGCAGGAGGGGAGATGGGGTCAGGGGAGCCCAGAAACAACCTCGCGCGTCCAGCCTGGGCCGGGGCACAGAGGCAGAGATTAGAGAAGACCATCTGCCTGAAGCCCTGAAGGGGCAGCCCAGAGCCAGGTCCGGTCATGGCCTCCGAAGGGGCTGGGTTAGAGAAGTGTGGGAGAACACAGCGAGCTGGGGCAGACCCGACTCCGGGGCAGCATGCTGGGTCCCCAGGCTTGCCCAGCTCTACAGGCTCGGGGAGGGCCTCAGCGGGTCTTGCTCCACCACAAGCAACCTGTCGAGACCGAGCAGGAGTAACCCTGCCGCACTGGAGACAGGTCTGGCCCTCTTCCTCTTTCTCCTCTTTAAAGTCAGGGTCGTGAACTCCCTACCTCGCCTCCTGGGTGCGGGGACCGCCCAGCGCTTTCCAGCAGGTCTCCCCACGTTCCCCAGGCTGGCTGAGCTCGCGGTCCTGCCGTCTCGGCCTCCCAAGGGACCAGGACCACGCACCACACCCCGCCCACGTGGCCTCGGCCTGCTGCCCAGTTGCACCTTTCCCTAACAAAATCGCCAGTCAGAGCCTTGCCCCGGTCCTGGGCCTGCTTCCTCCCGCTAAGGCCGCTCCCCCACGTTCCCTGTCGCCTCGGCACACACACCGCTTTCCTCCAGAGAAGCCAGCTCCATGGGAGCAGGGGCTGTTATATCCTGCTGCCTCCCAGGGGCTCGGGACAGTGCCCTGGGCAGAGTGGGCAACCAGTCCGTGTAGGGTGACCGAGTGTCACACACACCTCACCCCGGCCTCCTCGATCGGATGGAAACACTCCTGCTCTGAGTCTCCGTTCTGAGGCCTCCGAGGTCCGACCGCACCGCTCAGCGCTCAGGTCTCGGGTTGTGGAACCCACCCACCCGCTAAGCAGCGCCCCTCTTCCTCACGGAGGATGAAGAGAGCAGAGAGACACCCCGCAAGCTAAACAGCTCAGAAACTGGCACACCAGGCTGCCGCCGGCCACAGAGAACCCAAGAACAAACGTGAACAAAGCCAAATGGGCTCAGAGTCATCACCCAGAACAGGGGGATTGTGCAGCACCCCCCGAGTCACACACATCTGGGTCACACGACAAAGGGACACATCTGCTTGGCCTCAGTCGTTCCCCCACCAGCCAGGGACCTGCGGGTACTGAGGGCGAAGCCCAGCAAGGAGCCCAGTGCCAGGACCTCATCGTGCAGCACCCCGCAGTGCTCAGCGCAGAGCTGTGACTGCGACTGAGCCCTGGCAGGCGGCAAGGGCCCCTGGGGCTGCCGTGGGCTG